GCTCTTGGATGCACTGGGCATGACTCCCGTGGCGCCTGACAAAGCCCAGGGCACATCCCTGTGCACACACCCCTCCCCTCTCCCTTTTCCTTTGACTAAGGATCCCGCAGGTGCTGCCCCCATTACTAAGATCAGCTCCATTTACAGAGCATTTCTTCCTGAGTCACCGAATGGTTTTGGTGGGAAGGGACCTTAAAGCTGCTGCAGGCCAAAACACTGGACACCTTCCACTAGAGCAGGTTGCTCCAAGCCCCTGTGTCCAACCTGCCCTTGAACACTGCCAGGGATGGGGCAGCCACAGCTTCTCTGGGCACCCTGTGCCAGCGCCTCAGCTCCCTCACAGGGAAGAACATCCGTGTCCAGTGCTTTCATGGTGCATTCATGACCCGCTGCTCTGTCCCTCCCTGCAGGATGTCAGCAAGCGCCTCTCCCTGCCCATGGACATCCGCCTGCCCCCCGAGTTCCTGCAGAAGCTGCAGATGGAGAGCCCGGAGTTCCCCAAGCCCCTCAGCAGGATGTCCCGACGGGCTTCCCTGGTGAGTGTCACCACACAGTGCTGGGCACAGCACCCCAGGGCGTGCACACGAGTCCCAGCCAGCAGATGCATGAGCTGGTTGCCCCCTACCCATGCAGTGCCCCACAGTGCAAGCTCCCTGTACCCGTGTCTGACATCTCTGCCCATGCAAATCCCTTGCAGCACACATTCCCCCACCATGCACACGTGCATCTCTGCTGTGCAAATCCCCTCACTCACCTCTGCACATCCCTCACTTTCCTCTTGACCTGGCTTCTTCCAGATGGGAGGAGGTGGAAAACCTCCTGTGGTTTAGCCAGTGCTGGAGCCACTGCTCTTTGAAATGCAAATATGATAAATAATACATATGATAAATATGTTAAATAATGAATTAGCCTTTGCATTAGTGTTGGCATTTCAGTTTTGTTGCTGCAGAGCATCAGCATATGTAGGATGCTGCCCTGTTTACAACTGTGCAGGTGTGTGTCCTGCTGCCCAGGGGTGCTCAGTGCTGTACAGACACAACAGCAAGGTCTCAGCAGGCGTGTTCAGATCTGCATGCCTTTCCAAGGGAGGGAGGAGGAAAGGAGAGCTTGCATTTACCTGCCTGTTCTGTCTAATCAATAAACCAGGCACAGCCAGAGCAATGTGTCATCAATATTCATGGTCCCCTCCATGAATAAGGCAACAACAACATGGAATAGAGCTCCACTAGGTTCCCCTGGGATTTGCTGGTCCAAATGCAGGCTGTGTGAGCAGGAAAGCAGCATCCCTGCTGTGTGTGGCAGCTTGTGAGAGCTCTGTGTCTCGTCAGTGCCTGTGGCAAGGAAAAAGCCTTCTCACGGGGCAGAGCTGGGGAACAGGGGATGCTGCGAGGGCATCACATCCCTGAGGCTGCTGGTTCTGCGGGCAGGGCCCTGGGCACGGTGCGGGGGGCTCCTTCAGTGCCTCCGCTTTCCCTGCAGAGCCCCTGCTGATGGACTGCTGCCCATCCGGCTCCACCTGGTGATGGGGAGAGGCATGGCAAGGATCTGCCTTGGGAACCCTCCTGCACCCCAGCACACGGATGCCCATGGCAGGGGTTGGAACTAGATGATCTTAAGGTCCTTTCCAACCCAACGCATTCCATGACTTTATAACCCAGACTAACCAAGGAGGTGTCTGTCCCCACAGAAGGCAGCAAGGAGCAGCACCTAAAACCTGTGGCCTTGCAGTGTCGCTCTCTTTCACTGAGAGCAGGTCTCATTAAAGGGTTACTGTTCCCAAAGGGAAAACGTCCCTTTCATGCTCCATTTGACCAGCACACAAACAGCAGGGTGCTGGTAAAGACCAGGACGTAGGAAAGCACTCAAGGAAAGGCTGGTGGTGTGCCGGGGGGTGGGAGCTGCAGGGGTGGCAGTGGGAAGGGGCAGTGGTGCAGCCTTATGCTGGTGCATCCATGATCCCTCCCAGTGACGTTTTCCCTTCTCTCTTACAGTCAGATATTGGGTTTGGGAAGCTGGAAACCTATGTTAAACTGGACAAACTGGGAGAGGTGAGTAGACCATGAAACCCCTGTGCGGATTTGAATTAGGTTAGAAGGGCAGCTTGCAGTGGAAAGGGCAGACTGTAGCCAAATGCCTTCAATATCTGGCAATTCCTAAACCAAGTCTTTCTGTGGGCTTCTGCCTTGGCCCCGTAGCTTCGAGTGATCCTTCCTCCAAGCATTATGGAGTACACCAGTGTTGTGCCAGCCTGGTCAGTGGTCTGCATGGCTTGTGCTTTCTCTCTCCCCACCCAGGGCACTTATGCCACTGTCTTCAAGGGACGCAGCAAGCTGACTGAGAACCTGGTTGCCCTGAAGGAAATCCGCTTGGAGCACGAGGAAGGGGCACCTTGCACAGCCATACGGGAAGGTGAGGCCAGGAGGGGCTTTTCCCCATCACGGGAAGCAATGCTAGGTCACGGGTGGCTTTGGGTGGGTGGTGTGGGGTGACTGGTGCCACTGCAGTCACACGGGGTGGCCCCAGGTGCTGCTGCCCCATCCTGCCATCTCCTCTCCTTGCAGTGTCACTGCTGAAGAACCTGAAACACGCCAACATCGTCACCCTGCACGACATCATCCACACGGAGCGGTCCCTCACCCTCGTCTTCGAGTACCTGGTGGGTCTGGGGGGGCTTTGTGTGGGGATGGGGGGGTGGCCAAGGGCAGGACAGGCTGACGTGTACCTCTTGGTGCAGGACAACGACCTCAAGCAGTACCTCGATAACTGCGGGAACCTGATGAGCGTGCACAATGTGAAGGTAGGACGGGGGAGCTCACCCTGAGGGTGGCCCAGGGTGCTGCAGGGCTGGGTGAGGCCGGGTCCCCTTCTCTCTGCAGTTCATCCTTGTTATTCTCTCATTTCTCCAGTCACTGCTACCCTAACTAGAATTACTGTGCGGGCGAGCTTTGTTCATCCCCTGGTGGTGGCCTGACTGCTCGTCTGTAGCGCATCCCACCCCAGGCCAGCTTCACGGGGGCTTTCCTCCCATGAGCAGACTCACTTTGGTGCCACGTCACCATGCTAAAGCAAACCCCTTCTCCTCCCCACAGATCTTCATGTTCCAGCTGCTGCGGGGTCTGGCTTACTGCCATGGGAGGAAGATCCTGCACCGAGACCTCAAACCCCAAAACCTGCTCATCAACGAGAGAGGGGAGCTCAAGCTGGCTGACTTCGGTGAGTGGAGCTCGCTGGGGAAGATGCAGCATTGCAAAGAGGTGCAACTCCTTAATGCCCACCCCTTTCATCCTCAGGACTAGCCAGAGCCAAGTCAGTCCCTACGAAAACATACTCCAATGAGGTGGTCACGCTGTGGTACCGGCCCCCCGATGTCCTGCTGGGATCTACCGAGTATTCCACACCCATCGACATGTGGTGAGCTCCAACCCGAGCATCCTGAGCCTCCTGAGCTGGTGGTTGGGCATTTCCACCTCAGCACTGTACATGCCCAGCGTTGGTTACACCAGGGGGTGCTGGGATCAATCTCTTGTCCACTGGGCTCAGGTCTTTGGAGCCATTCAGGGTGAATAGTTACCTGTAGCAGGGAGAGGACGCGGCTCCTGGAGCCCATTTCCCTCTCCCAGAACCTCAGCCCTGGCCAAGGGGTGGTGGGCTTTCCACAGGGCTTCTCCATCACTCATCCCAGGGTCTCTGCTGCTGCTTTAGGGGCGTTGGGTGCATCCACTACGAGATGGTCACCGGGCGGCCCATGTTCCCCGGCTCCACCGTGAAGGAAGAGCTGCACTTGATCTTCAGGCTGCTGGGTGAGGCTCGGCCGCTGCTGTGTCCCGAGTGCCCACACGAGGGCAGTGCCTGACTGCAGGAGCGGTGGCAAAGCGCGGCCCGAGGGAGC